CAATGAATCCCCTTTTCCCCACCCAGAACAATAGGGAGCTCCCTCCCCCACGGAGAACAATGAACCCCCCCCCCAAAAAAAAAAAAACCCCTGGGGGGGCTCCACAATGCTGCCCATTTGGGGGTCCCACCCGGCGGTGGCAGGTCCAGGAGGTGCCACCTGTGGGCTGAGCTGTGGGCGGCCTCAGCCCCGCGGGGATTGGGGTCCCCCCTTGCCACGGTGGGGGGGACACACACGCAGGACATGGGAGAGCTGCCCCCCCCCCCTTTACCCCACAGAGCCCTAAACCCAAATTAGCTTCCATCCCACCCGTCGCCTCGTTGCTTTCCCTCCGGCCCGAGCGAAGGGGAGGCGAGATCCCGTTCCCCGCAGCAGGAAGTTTGGCTTCCTCCCTATGATGGGAATTTCTCAAGGCGATGGATGTTCGCTCCGACGCGCAAACGGGTCCCGCCAAGAAAAGCCACCGCTCGGCAGCTCCCGCGTCCCCGGCACCGCCGATGCCACGGGGTCACGGTCACCCGGGTCTCGTATCCCCTGACCCCTACGCGTCGTTAACGGCGAAGTCTCACGCAGCAATAATTAGGGCAGGAATTGCAGAAGCAGCGGAGGGAGGAGGAAAAATGCTCCAAAAATCCCTTTAGGAGCCGTTAACGAGAGCCTCCGAGTTGAGGTGGGTTTTGGCGTGGAGCGGTGCCCACCCCGGTGCCCTTCCCAGGGGCCGGAGGGGTTAATCCCACCGGGGACAACGTGGGGCTGTGGCCGGACCCCCCTTGGGGCTGACCCCGCACCTTTCGGCTCACCCCAGTAAGAGGATGCCCGGTGCCGCTCACAGCTGGTTTCCCCCCCCCCCCCAAGACCCCCATTTTCCCCCCCATGTCGGGGTTCGGCACAGCCGAGCGGGGCGAGCGCTCGCCCTGCGGCCCCTCGACGTGCGGCGCTGGGGAAAGGCGAAGCCAAATCTCCTTTTAGAGAGCGAATGTTTCCCCTCGGTTCAGCTCGGTCGCGCTCGCTGGAATGCCTGGGCTTTTTATAAATCCCTCCTCGAGCTGAGGGATGGGCATGAGAAATGCCAGTTGGAGAAGAGAAAGGGAAAAAAGATAGTGGCAAGGAGGGATAAAGTGTTTTCGGGTGCTGTATCTGCCTGCAAACCTCATTGCTTGAGCTTTAGAAGAGCTCAAAATATGCATATCTATATTTCATTTAGTTTTCTTGCAGAATTCAAGGCTGCCCAAATTTCCTTTTGTTCTTCAGGGTAATTATTTGTATTTTTCTTTACCCCCCTGCACGTCTTAATAAATCTTTTTTAACTGCGTGATCTCCGACACTTATCAGAGGGTTTTTTTCTTTTCTTTCCCAGCCCCTTAAAACGCTGATATAAAAATAAAATTAAATCCGGCCCTTCGGAAGAAAAGCATAAACGTTCCCGACACCTTGGAAATGTGGTTTTACTTTATAGCATTACTTAGCACCTGATCAGCATTTTTTTTTTAATAGGAAAGCCATAAAAACCCCAAGCAGGTATTTTCGTTGCGACTTGCACATTCCACAGGCTGCCTGCGTCTCTCCGGCCCTTTCCTCTCCGATCTGAAAACTTCACACTTTTCCCTTTTAAAACACATGTTCGGCGCTGTGTCTGCACAGAGGGAAAAAAAAATTGCAGGGGAAAAAAAAAAAAAAATTACAAAATTGGCCCCTCTAGAGGATCCTGCTTGGAGGAGAAAAAAAAAAAATTGCAGGGGGGGGGGATAAAAAAAATTGGCCCCTCTAGAGGGTCCCGCTCGGAGCACGGGAAACGTGTCTGTTTTACGGCGCTCGTGTGTGTTTCTGGTGCTGTTTAGATTAAGATTTAGGAGAATTAGGGCCCGGAGCGTCGGGTCTGTTATCGGCGGAGTTGGAGCTCGGCGCTCGGCTAATGGAGGAGCCGGTGCTGGGTGGGCTTGTTGGCAGAGCTGGGGGATGCTTTTTTTTTTTCGGAGGCCTCACTGGAGGATGGGGAGAGTTGGGGGCTGAACTCCCCCCCCCCCGGGGAAGGGTTTGCTTTGGGGGTGGGTGGGATGGATTCGTGCCATCACCCACGGATGCTCGGGGTACCCCGGGGTACCCGGCACCAACGTGTCCCGGATGCTTTTACACCCACCCCAACGGCATCCCCTGAGCGACGGGAGGCACTGCTAATTAAGATATCTCCAGGGGAACGAGGATTTTGGAGCATTAATTGCGCCGGGGTGGGAGCTGGAGCGGCCGGCGGGCGCTGAAAGCCGATAGGAGCCGGGGAGGTCGGAGGGGAGAGGAGGTCGCGGCACTTTCCGGGAGGTAATTTGGGATATTAGCCTGGCGCGTGCGGATGGAGCCGATAAGGCTGATGGACACGGAAAACCCCGGAGCGGGCTCGGGGGGAGCCTTTTTTTTTGAAGCCTCGTGGCATCAGGGTCTCGAAATAAAGCGGCGTGGGGGGGGTTTCCCATCACGGAGGGGGTCCCCGGTGGGGACCACGCTTGGGGGGGTTCCCCGTGCCGGCTCCCGGTGCGGCCCCTCGGGGTGTCGTGGCGCAGGGACCGTGTGCCGAGGTGCGAGCGATGGGTTTTGGCAGAGCCCGGCGGCACATGGTTGGGATTAGGCGGGTGGTCGGTGCCGGTCTTGGCCGGGAAGCGCTGCCTGGCCCTCGGCGGCATGTTCCGAGGGGGGGCTGCCGGCCAGCGTCATTGGAAAAAGGGGGGGAAAAAAAATACCCCCATAACTTTCCATAGCTGCTTTGGAAATCCTTTTGTCGTGAAAAATTTACAAAGCCGCAACCCAGCCCCCACCCAGCCCTGGAAAAACCACAGCGTCGCCAAGACCCCCCAGCCTCATGCTCCAAACTCCCCAAAGGCTGTCGGCGCTTCCCGGCTTGAACCCCCCCCCCCATCTCCCCGCTCCGGCTTCGCCGAGGAGCCCCCGAGCTCGCGGGGAGAGCCCGGCCGAGCCCGGCGCCTCGTGTGCTCCTGCCTCTGCTTCGGAGGAGGGCGAGCGCTGCTGCGAGGGGCTGTGCGGTGATAAATAGATGTATATATCTAAAAAAGTACGTAAGTGGATGTAAAATAGATTTAAATATTTAAAAATAGATAGAAAAGATTTAAATATATAAAAATAAATGTAGATTTAAATACATGAAATAGAAATGAAATATATAAATACATAGAAGACTAGATATAAATATATAAAATACATTTAAATACATATAAAATAGACATAAAATACATTTAAATACATACAAATAGACATAAAATTCATTTAAATACATATAAATAGACATAAAATACATTTAAATACATATAAAATAGACATAAAATACATTTAAATATGTTAAAAATTATAAAAAAATTCCCTTTTTTCCCCCCCCCCCTCTTTTGTTTCTCCGGCTGCAGACCCCGCAGTGATTTCCCCCCAAGACCCCACCCTGCTAATCGGCTCCTCGCTGGTCGCCACGTGCACGGTCAGCCCGGACTTTCACCTGAAAGCCGAGGACCTGTACTGGACCCTGAACGGCCGGCGCCTGCCCGCCGCCTCCTACGCCGCCCTTGGCCCCACCACGCTCAGCGTGGCCCTCGCTCGCCTCAATGGCTCCAAGCAGCAGTCGGGGGACAACCTGGTGTGTCACAGCAGAGACGGCGGCATCTTGGCCGGCTCCTGCCTTTACGTTGGACGTACGTCGGCGGCGCCGGCGCGGTTGCACGTGCCGGGTTTGAGCCGGCGCCGTGTGCCGGGATGTCCTTGCCGGCCGGGTCGCAGCGTTGCGGTGGGGAGAGCCATGGCTCCCGGCGGAGCCTTGGGAGGATTTGGAGATCCCCGCGGGGATTGACACCCCGCTTCTTGCCAGAACGTGCCGTGAGCTCGCAAGGGTCGCTCGTAGTTGCTCGATTTTAACCTCCCTGCGGTTTGTGCCCCGACCCGCAGCCGCAGCCTCGGGCTCGCGGGAGCGCGCAGCAGAAAAAGGCTGTTTTGGCAAACCCTCCGTAAAATTACACTTGTCCGAATCAATAATCGTAAGATTTTATCTCGGGCTATTTTAAGGACGATGCTACGTCCTAGGAATACAGAGGCTTAACTGGGAACACAGCTTGGATTTGCTTTTTGGGTTGCTGTTGCTGAAAGAAAACGGCTCCGGAGCCGGGTGCAGGCAGGAGCTTAAACCCCTCCAGCAAACGCGTTTGCAGCCACGGGGCTGGAACCTGGGGACCGGGGGCTGTGTTTCGCCGCTGCGCCGTTTCATCCCCCTCTGTCTCTTTTTTTTGTTTTGTTTTGTTTTTTCTTCTCTCCCAGTACCCCCAGAGAAACCAGTCAACATCACCTGCTGGTCCAAAAATATGAAGGACCTCACCTGCAAGTGGGCGCCGGGGACGGAAGGGGAGACGTTCCTGCACACCAACTACACCCTCAAGTACAAGCTCAGGTGGGGTGCCCGCCTTAATTCCCGTTTTTCTTAAAAACGCCGGCGTGGGATTTAAAGGCTGGCGGGGAACGGGGAGCCTGATTCCTCCTGGCTGGCCCCTGTTTGGGGATGGTGCCCGGTGTGATGAGTTTCCTCGGGTCTCGGCCGCGGCGAGCGCTGGCAGGCCACCATGCCCCGTGCGTGCCGGGGAGGAGGAGGGTGAGGAGAAGCGGCCGCAGGGCCGGTAACCCAACACCTCGCCGGCGCGATGCCGGCGGTGTTGAATGGCAGATAAATAAGCCGCGGTCCCCGCCGGGAACGGCCGTTTCCTCCGGGGATGGGTGAGCATCCCCAGCTCGACCGTGGCAACCGGCGGTGCCGGTACCGGCACTCAGCGCCTGCCCGCAGGTGGTACGGCCGAGACAACACGTGCCAGGAGTACCACACGGCCGGACCCTACTCCTGCCACATCCCCAAGGACCTGGCCCTCTTCACGCCCTACGAGATCTGGGTGGAGGCGTCCAACCGGCTGGGGGTGGCCGTCTCCGACGTCGTCATGTTGGACATCCTTGACGTGGGTGAGCAACGGTGTCGTGATGTCGCCGCCACGGTGTCATGATGTCACTGCCACGCCGGTGACCTCATTGCGGGGCGGGGGGGGGGGGGCGC